TTTGTTCTAATTCATATCTTAACATGAATTTTTCCTCATAAATATTAAAATTTTGGCCAAAGAAAACAAGAATTAAACACTACATTTTATAATTCACACATTTAAATTGCTCTGATATATATTTACATATTCTACTACATTTAATGTACAATGATTTATCTTTTTCCTTTTCAAAAGAGATAGAATGATTATGTATGACTTCATCTATCCTCAGATTAGGTCAATGAAAAAATTGGACACTGAAAGGTTAAGTAACAGAGACCATGTAACACAGCATGAAATGGTTCAGCAGGATTCAGACCTGCCAAGTCTAATTTTAGAACTAGTGTTTACACCACTACTTAATTGCAAATGAATATGTTACATGACACTAAAAAAAATGCTGTAATTGTCATTTAATCTGTATTACTAGCTAGCAACTAGATAATGAATTTTAAATGATAAAATAGAATATTAATAAATTGTGAAATACACACATAAAATGTATTATGTCCATGAATAAACATGGAGATATTCTTTTTCTTTTTTATAAGTCAAATCACAAGATTTCTAGGACCCAAGCCTGACCTGTCCCATTTTGTTCTGCCAAATTGAAAAAGGAAGAACATATTAGATATAGCATAACAAAAACTGTGTTCAGTGATTCATGCACTGCAATTTTAATGCTATACTTTTCCTACAAACATGCTTTTAATAAGACAGTAAACTGTATTTAGCTGAAGATGAAAATAATTGATCCATTTCAGGCCATTAAAGCAGTTTTATTTATTAATTTTTTAAATTTTACTTTCATCCTACTTTTCATTTTCATGGAAAGTACAGAGGTAATAGCAGATGAATTTCAATTAGTTTCAATTAATGCCATAAACTGCTATAATGTATTAGGTTGCTGGGTTCTCTCTAAAACCCCCAGCTGAACGTTACGGGTTTTGTCTGCAGTTGAAAGCAGCATTTGAGCCAGTGATGTCAGCTATTCTCTAGGATACTGGAGCAGTTCTCATAGTTGAGGATAATTTACATGTAGAAATCCATCCAAGTCTAGAGCCCAGAAAGCCATTTCCTTCAGACTGGACTAATTCTACTAGAGAACAGTGGTTTCTACTTTGGAGGCAGAAGGGGTATGACAAAACAGTGATTTTGCTTTGCAGGGATATCTGTAGTTTCGATGGGCAGTAATTCAGAGAAGAACTGACATCCTGGTGACCATCCCAGCATTTCAACATCCACCTGCCCTTCTAGAAGACCTCTACTGCCTTTGGTAAACAAGACCCCTTTCTCAAGTCCTCGCTTCAGCAAAGCTAGGCCTGGAGTTTCCCAGGATTAGAGGGGTGATTCTTGGATGGACATTAGACTAACTTACAAACAATAAGATATTTTCTCCTGTGATACAGGTCAAACTCTCCCAATTTCTCTTCTTTTTGAGAGGGGCCTTGTCCTCAGATCCCTCTTGTCAATATCCACACTGAACTGTTGAGAAAGGGGGAAGCAAGCCAGAAGGGAGCAAAAGTGTCTTCAAAAATGTCCATATTTGGCCCTCCCTGGTGGTGCAGTGGGTTAAAGCACAGCACTAAGAAGCTAAAGCCACTTCAGCATGAGTTCGATCCCTGCCCCAAGGTGATCCACATGGCGCGGCAGACCTCTCCTGATCCGCCTGCTGCTCCCCTCTGCAGTGTACTTTGATGATCTGCCTGTTCTGCTCCCCACTCTGTCTCTGGTGAACCCTCTCATCGCCCCTGCAACTCTGGCCTGTACCCCAGCTCTGTATGCATAAATAAATAGATCTTTTTTTTTTTTTAAAGTCCACATTCCCCCTAGTGTTACTAATGTGCCCCCTTGTGGGGGCAAGAACCACCAGATAGAGAGATGGTGATGTATACAGGAATGCATTCATGATATCCCAGAATTCTGCTTTGTAGCTTCAAATAGAAATAGAATCATTCCATAATTGACTTGGAATTAACCAACAAGCACTGTGCCAACAGAGTCGCCAAACAGAGCAAAAGGTTACAGCTTCCTCCCTTCCTGGAGGCAAGGCTGCCTCACTTTCAACAAGCTATTCTGACCTCCCCTGACCCATTCTTACTAGAGCACTTTCTCTACTAGAGGGATTCACCTTCCTGTCTGGTGTGCTGTGCACTGGACACACACTAAAAAGCAACCAACTGAACATAGAGTTGGCCAAACACTGAGGTTGTCCCCTCAGTCCTCTGCCTTCATCTTCCACTTCTGCCCTCTACACAGTCTGCCTGCCTAAGTTGCTGGACCATCAGCTTTTGGATACAATTCAAACTCCCCCAACTTCTCTCTCCATTTGCTTGTCATGCTCATCTTTCAGGCTTAGCTCAAATCCCCCTTCCTTAAGAGGCCTTCTTCAAAACTTCACAGCCTCTAGAAAGGCCAGAGCACCCCACTGCCATCTGCTGGCACCCAGAATGCCTGGATTCTTGTCTTGTGTAGACTATGTCCTGGGTTTCCCTCTCACCAGGACTGCATGGGCTGAGACTTACTTACACACTGGGGAGCTTTCGGTGTGAAACAACTACTCCATCACATGTAGACATAGTAATGCTGATTAACAGCCTGGATTATTGAACTCTCACTATGTATGAGACACCGGCCTGACTTGGACATGTAATATCTTACTTATCTCATTTGATCCCAGAATGGGGCTAATTATATTCAAGTCTAAATATGACTCTAATTATGGAAAAGCAACAAAGAGCTTCTTAAGGCAGGAGGCTAACACTTTCTTTCTAATTTTTCTCACATGAGAAGCCATTTGAAAAGGGTCCCTATGCAGAGTTCAATTAACCTAGCCAAGTTGGATTTCTCAGAGCACTGCCAACCTGGGCCCAGTATCAGAGTGTTAGGAACACTGTTAGGAAGTCCCCTAGGAGTATCATCAGATGCCCTTCCTGGGGAAAAAAGTTTATCTTTAAGACAAGAAACTCATTTATTCATACTTCTTTTTCTGGTTATTCAGTGGACAAAACCAGGGACTTAAGGGATATTATACTGTGGTTGATGAGAGACAGTTTAAAATATTTTATAAGAATTTCCCTTGAAATGGGCACTAGTCTATTTTTGACAAGTAGTCGACAGAATAATTCTGATGCTTTCCCCATCTGAGAATCAATAGCTTGAAAAAGCAGACACTCAAAGAAGAACATAATAATTCTTACTTTGGGATTTCTAAATCCCCCACATAAATATTCAACTTAAGAACTTGTATCGCCACTTTCAAAGACCCTTTTCTTGGTTAAAAAGCTCTTCACTCTTAATCCCCCAAAGAGTCAACAAAGTTAATACACTGTGTTTTAATAGGATTCAGCACAGTTTTAAGACACTCTGTTTTTTATATTGAACTATTATCTTTTGTGCTTTGGGGGGCTTAGGTTACATTTAAGGTCTGGAATTGATGGCATGGTCATGATTTGTCACAAATAAAAGTAAGATTCTATCACTCACCTATTTTTGTAAATAAAATTTTACTGGCACACAGCCATGCTAATTTGTTCACATATTGTCTTTAACTTTGTTGTTGCTGCAATGGCAAAAACAAGTGATGGGCAGAGCTCATTATGGCCTTCCAAGACATTGCATATTTACATCTGGCCCTTCACAGTAAAAGTTTGCCAACCCCCAGATCAGAGAATTCCCCAAGTCTATGTAAGTCACTGGACAGTCATTAAAGAATGAGAATAATGTTGAAATAGATTTAAATACACATAGATACAAAACTGAAAACATTGTCAAGTTCTGAGGCAAATATAAAAGTATTTTAGGACAAATTTTAAATCTGAATGAATGGTATATACCTATATACCTCACCTCTGTCCAAAGGTTTTAGACTCAGTTGATTTTTCATGTGACTTCTGTCCAACTTTTAGGTTACACACGTTATTTCATACTCAAAAGAATATGGACTGTTTCCCCGAAACTTTATGAAATCAGTTTACCCTTGATTCCAAAAACTTGATGTAAGAAAACATGTAAGAAAAAACTATCAGCCAATGTGAATATTTGTCTTATGAATTTAGATGCAAATAGCCTATAGCATCAAATTACACTTAATTTCAGCACAGTAACTGCATGTAAATAATGCAATTATTAGTTGCATACTTAAATTATTCTTAAATGGGCACATTAAATAAGCATGTTTAATTTTACATATTGATCCCCATACTCCAGGCCCTTAGTGAGACTGATTTGAACATGTGAGTTCAAATCCCACTCCCCATGACTGGTTGTACACCCCAGCCATGTCGTTGATCCTAACTGTGCTCTTTACCTAGAGGCAAAAAGAAGGGGTTGCACCAGGTCATACCCAAATTTTGACTCTCAGGTTTCAGTTAAAACCAAATAGGGAGCCAGACCTTCTTCTGGTTGGTCTACATGTCAAACAATTTCATTTTAATCCAAGCAATGAGAGGAAGATGTTTGAGAAAGCACTTCACAGTGGCACAAACATTTGGTACAAATGTTTCACTGTCTCATTTTGATTCAAAAAGTGGCATGCAACTCAAATGTGTATTAATGGGAAGGACCATGCAGACAACACCAAGAAAGAGAACAATGGATTGTGAAGAGAAGAAAAGATCCCTCCAACACAGACCTTTCTTTTTCTTCCTAGGTCTTTTCAGCTTCACAAAAGAAGACATATTTTCCATATAATTGCTACACATGTTTGCTTATTAAATTATTCTTTAATTAGTTAATGATTTTAGCCATGCTTTGCTCTTCGGATATTCATTTTGTGTAATAAAATAATTATAGATAATTAAACTATCTCAAGCCTTTTTCCTTCCCCCAGTAAACATGCTGGGTATCCAAAAATGACAACAAGTTGTAAATTAATCTGGAAAACAAAGCATGACAGATGAATGATTTGGTTGGAATTAATTAGGCACTAATTATATACTGGAACTAGATGAAGAATGAGACTCATTATAAAAATAAAATGCTATTCTGAAAAGATGCACAGTTACCAACATCCTTACCTTCTGTGATGATGGAGTTGTTCCTTATCCAAGTCAGTGCCTCAAAGCAATCTTCTTCATCATTGAGAGTGAAATGATTGCGAGGAACTTGGTCAGAGTATCTCTTCTTCCAGTCACTTGGAATCTCCCTGTTTGTCAGGTGCTGATTAATATCAGCCCCTGTGGGACATGGGACCTGAGGTATGTTAGAAAGACAATCTTATTTCAGTGATAACCAGTAAAGAGCTGATACAGTATCAGACTAATTAAATAACTGTAGCAATACCCAGCATGGATATGCCTTTTTTCTGCCCCTAGTTACAATCAGTTTTTTTTAACTGAAAAAACCAAACACAGGAATGATTTTTTCAAATCTGCCTCAGTGGTGCAAAATATCCATTTATTAGGCTTACAGATGCTGTAGGTAAGTCATTCAGACAGGGAAAGGTGGGGGATAGTGTCTCTGTTCCACAATGTGAGAGGCCTCAATTGAGAAGACTTGAAGGTGGAGTAACCTGATGATTAGAGACTGGGATCATCTGGAGGTCATCAGTCTTTTTTCTTTCCCTCCTAAAATAATCTGGGTATAGGAGAAAGTTGTCATTGTATATCTTGCAGTTGATTCTGGCCAAGGAGTGGGATGTTAGCGGGGTTATTGGCTAGAACACCTCTCTGTGGCCTCGCTGCATGGCCTGGAGTTCCTCACAGCATAACGGCCTAAAGGCAAGTGTTCTGAGAGAGGGAACAGTACAGAAAGCTCCAAGTGCTTTTCTAACCTAGTCTTGAAAGTCAGTGTCTCTTCTACCATATTCCACTCATACCTAGGCTTAAGGGGAGGAAGACTAGAATTCACCTCTTCCTGCAAGAGGAACACATGGACCTGGCTTTTTTTTTTTTCTTTTTTGAAAATAATCTTTACAGCAACAGGGGCAAGCCAAAAAAGAAAATGAGGGAGTAGGAGAGGATTATTCCTCACTTTGTTAGAGAAGTCCCCTTTCTCCCACTACCCTCCACAGACCCCAGTATAATAACTTCTGCCTCTGACTTTGGCTGCAAATGTGAGTAGAAATAGAGACTTCTTTCAGCAATAGGGCAAACAACCATGAAAGCACAATATAGGATGGAGAGACATACTTCTGGTGTCCCAGAAACTGTGACAAATTGGAAGGGCCCATGTCCACCCTCTGGCTGAAGTATCCAGTCATGATCCAGTTGTTGCCAGAGCGGAGTATGGGTTCAAAATGGTCATAACTAATTTCTCAAAAAAAAGCTAGATAGCTTTTTTTTTCACATGGATTTCTAATTTATTATTATTATTATTATCTTGGATTGAATTAAAAGCATCACTATGTGACTGTTTCACCACATCAAAGCCAATTACAACAATACAATAGCATGGGCCTGCTCAGTGGGCCACCACTTTGTCCCTTCAATTTTTATTTTGCTGCCAAGTAGAGGTTATGTGAAAGATGAACACTCAGAGCAAGGCTTAAAGGCAACTTTGTTAGAAGGCCTCTGTTAGAAGACTCACACAAACTGTCCTGTACTCAATGGTGGTATGAAACTTAAGGGCTGAGAAGCAGGGATCATTTTATGTTGTGATGGAGAGTTCACTTGTAGAAAGGACTAAAATGGGTACAAGATTCAGAAAATGCCTTGTTATGCTGGGTAGAAGTGAATACTGATAGCACTCAAACAAGTGAGGCTTCATTAAATTCCCCATAATATTTAGGAAACTTTTTGGTTTTCTCAGTAGAAACTGTAAAGCTTTGGCATATTACTAGAACATACTTAATTTCAAATTGGGTTAAATATTAAAAATCAATTTTTAATGCTAGCTGTCCTTTTTTCACTGCAGAGTATGAAGTAATGAAGAGGCTGTATTTAACAAAATGGAACAACCCCAATAAGATATTTTTATTTACTGCAAAATTGTGGAGGTGAACTTTCTTACCAGCAATAGAACTTTCTTGGCAATATTATACTACAATTTTGGTACCAATAAACTCAAAGTTGTAAGGCAGTTAACTGAGCAGTTGAGTCAGAGGTCTGACGTACATAAAACTGACTACCATGCTTTCAACAATTTGAAATCTCACTGGAACCACAATGATCACTGTAGCACAAAAGAAAATGAAATTTGGGTAACACTATACCAGTTTAGTAAGTCATACTTAAGACTTTAGCAGAAAATGGCAGAGTTAGAGTAATTTGAGGGCTCTTCAATTTATAAAACTTTCAATGAGTTATCTTTTCAAATGGTGGGTGTTTAGATGAAGCACAAAGCAGAGAAAAGAGAATGAGGTCCAAAATGAAAATCAGTTTACTCCAATCCTGAAATGTAACTGCATTCTTAGATTCCATATGATTCTGTGGGCATTTAAATATGTGATGCTGTTTTCATCATTTCTAAGCTCTATAGAACTAGAAAAGTTAAAGAAAGATTAAGGGAATAATATGTTTTTCATAGTCTCACAATGGCGTTTTCACAGAATACGAAAAACTAAAGCCAGGGGTTTAAATTCCAAGTCAAATTGATTTGTCCACACAGAGTTTAGCAGAACTGAATAAATAAAAAAGGATCTTTATAGGGATCAATTCATCTGATGTCATCAAAGTTGGGAGGGAACAGAGTTTAATAGGTGAACTTGTATATATATAGATATATATGTATGTGTGTGTATATATTTTAAATAATATAATAGTTTGTTTTTACAACATTTTGTGCCTTTTTCCAGGGTATGTATACATTTAATAAAGAAGCACCATCAGTGCTGGCTAGCCAAAATAGAGTGCTCTCTTGCCACTAACTTAATTCCCACTAACTGATGAATGATATTTTCAATCATTACATCAGATGATTCACTGACTGGCGGGAGCCCTTTGGCCACCCCCAAGTCCCTGAGCAAGTTAATAACTTATGGTGGTAAGAATTGCTTGGAAACTGATCCAAAAACCTATTTTCCTTTTTTTTTTTTTTCCTAGTAACACTCTCCTGAGACATATATGCCCAGCTGAAAGATTACCCTGCCCTACTCATGACAAAAGATAGAACTATAAGCAGGAGTGGGTCAGGCAACTAGAAAAGTCATTTTGCTCTTGTCCTTCCTCCTGCCTACTTCTTGCAAATGAGTCAACAACTACTTCAAGATATTGAGTTTGGGGGCCATCCCTGGTGGCGCAGAGAGTTGGAGCGCACCACTGTGAAGCTAAGCCAAGCTGTGGCCACTTCAGTTCTAGTTGGTTCCCTGCCCCGGAGGTGACCACATGGTGTGGCAGACCTCTCCTGACCCCACCCACTGTTCCCCTCAGCAGTGCACTTTGTCAATCTGCCAGTTCTGCTCCCCACTCTGTCTCTGATGAATCCTCTCACCACCTCTGCACCTCTGGCCTGTACCCCAGTTCAGTATGTATAAATAAATAAAATCTTTTTTAAAAAAGTTATTTGAGGTTGGAAGTCACATTTTTAAGACAATGAACACAAGATAGAAGGGCCTGGTATCAGGGAGCTGTCTTACCAAACCTGAGTTGCTTTTCTCCACTTTTAATGAGAGAACAAAATAACTTCATTTTACTTTTAAATTGCTTATTTAACTTAAAACTATTCTGTAACAATATGCTCTAGAATGTCTGTGTTTTAAAGACTTTCAAAAGCCATCATGTGTAATCCATGTACCACATCTATGAAAGAGGGAGAGCAGGTGAGAAAGGAAACAGGAGAAGGGGAGAAACAGGCAGTGGTAGAATACTTGTGTTCTGGAACCAGACCACCTGGTGCAAATCCTAGTCAGTCACTTTGTTAATGTTTGACCTCAGATGGATTATCTAAACTTCAACTCACTCATCTATAAAACCAGGAAGCAAACAGCATGGACTTTGGAGGGTTACTACAAGGTTACATCATTAGCACCCACCCTCAGACAGGTTCCTACCCCTTCACAAGGGCCCTGATGCTGGCCAGCATGCTGCTGCTTCCCAGGAGGGGGCATTTACTGCTGGTCGTCTCCCCTAAATTTGCTTCCTTGGGCCATGATGTGCCAGTTAAATTTGTTTTCTACCTTGATAACCTTTACAGATTTGAGGACAGCCACCCTGAGTCATTAGCCCTCTGGCCAACCATCTTGGATGGTTGAAATTGTCTCAGCTTGTTCTTCCTCTGTTTTAAGTGTGACTCTAAGAAATGAATTTAGGACTTCCATTTGTGTAACATATTGACAGTATCATCTTCAACATGGAAGGGGCTTATGAATGCTGTATGTATCTCCAGTATGAATGTTATCCTTTGTTAGCATGAAAGGTTTTTCTTTCTTTACTTAATTCTGTTTTGCTGGATATTAATGTTCCTGCTATTTAGTAAAGCTATTTGAATTTGTCTGATACCTTCTGATGGTACACTTTATATATATATATATATTTTTTTTTTGCAAATAAACACATGCCTTTTGCAGCAACATGGATAGAACTGGAAGGGATCACGCTTAGTGAAAGAAAAGGAAAAATACCAGATGATTTCACTCATTGGAGGAGTATAAAGGACCAGGGGAGAAAATAATAATAATAATGAACAACTAAATACCAGAGACATTTTACGGGGGTGGGATGGGGAATGGGATCAAAAACGATGAGGGAAGAGAAGTGCACTGGACTATGGTGATGGTGATTTGGTGATGGGAAGCCAATGGGTATTACAAATGAGATGGGAAAAGGCACAAAATGATGTAAAAATAAACTATTATATTATTAAAAAGATTTTTTTTGCTATACATATATAACTTTATTTAAAATTTTTAAATATTATATATATTTTACATCATCATTTTGTACAATGTGGCTTTCTCCTTTCAGGTGTCGTCTCTGTAAAATTCCCACCACCAGTTCACCCGTGCACCATCACATTAGTCCGTTGTGCTCTTTCTACCCTTGTTTTGATCCTTTTCCCACCTCCTCCCCTGTATGTCTCTGATTTATAGTTGCCTGTTGATTTTAATTTTTAATTTATTATAATTACATTTGCTTCCTGATCCATATTTGGTTCCCCAACGTTCTGTCTGTAAGTGAAACCATCCCATATTTTTCTTTTTCTTTCTGGCTTATTTCATTAGCATAATCCCTTCCAGCTCCATCCATGTTGCTGTAAATGTTATCAGCTTATATTTTTTTGATTGCTGAATAGTATTCCATTATGTATATTTACCACATCTTCTTGATCCAGTCATCCATTTTCCAGCATTTGGGTTGTTTCCATATCTTTCCTACTGTAAATAGTGCTACAATAAACATAGGGGTGCAGTTACCCTTCTGAATTAATGGGTTTTTGTTCCTTGGGTAGATTCCTAGGAGTGGAATTGCTGGATCATATGGAAGCTCCATTTTTAGCAGTCTTAGGAACCTCCACACAGCTTTCCATAGTGGTTGGACCAGTTTGCATTCCCACCAGCAGTGCAGGAGAGTTCCTTTTTCTCCACATCCTCACTAACATTTGTTGTTGTTATATTTTTTTTAATAAGTGCCATTCTCACTGGTGTAAGCTGGCATCTCATTGTGGTTTTGATTTGCATTTTCCTGATTATAAGTGATTTTTTTCATACGCCTGTTGGCAGTTTCATACCCCTGTGAAGAAGTGTCTTTTTACCTCTTTGTCCATTTTTTGACTGGACTGTTTATTTTGTTTTTGTTGAGTCTTGTCAGCTCTTTGTGATCTTTGTGAACAGTTGATGGTGCACTTTTCATTATCTTCATTTTTAAACTGTGGGTGCCATTTTGTTTGCATTTCTTTTGCATGTTAAATTTAGTATAAAAAGAGTCTTGATCTTATGAGGGTTGTTTAAAACCTTGACATTTATTATTATAACTGTCGTGGGTTTTTTCTTTATCCACTTCTGATTTATACATCCTTTTAAACATTGTGGGTCTCTTTTCCCCTTTGGTTACATGAATGATACATTCTTCTTTTTACTTTCCCTCTGCCGGAAGGTGAATTTATTTATGCTGTGCAAAAGCACACTGCATTTTGGAACATTGCCAAAAGTATGTTCTTTTCCTTAATTTTTCCAGATATTATTCCTTTCTCCACATTCCACCTAAAGTTTTTGTTGCAGCTTCCTCTTGCTGTACAACGAACTCACACCAAAACTTAGTGGTTAATACCTACCACTTTAATACTTTTCATGATTATGTGAGTCAGAAATTTGAGTAGGGTGTGACTAGATAATTCTTTTATTCTGTATATTATATATAGAGATCACTTGTTGACATCCAGCTGGTGAATGGTCTGGTATAGAGAGTCTGAAATGGTTTTATTCACATGACTGGAGCTATCAATTGAGCACCCATACATGGTACTTCCAGAATAGGGATTAGAGAGTATCTGGGCTTCTCCTGACGCAGTTCAAGCTTTCAGGAGTGACAGCCCCTACAAATAAGGAGAGGCTGAATGACCCTTGTGACCTGGCCTCAGAAGTCATGCCACATCACTTCCTTTGTATCCTCTCAGTCAAGACATTTACAAGCCTGTCCATATTCAAGGCGGGGCATAAGGACATAAACCCCCATCTCTCAAATGGGAGAAGCATCAAAGTACTTGTAGCCTTGCTTTAAAATGGTCACTTATGTGTCAGTGCATGCTGTTGTTTACCACTTTAATCACCCTCAAATTCAGCGATACCTCCTCATGGCAACTCTGTCAAAACCCAACACCTTTCTCAGGTCTATGACTGGGAACGCACGTGTGTGTAAATAGGTCTCTTTTCTGCTTGCATCAGACTCTCCCCTGGAATTGCATCATTCCAGGTGCCACACACTTATTTGTCCAATAATGTAATTAACCTTTCTGTAGATCACATCATATTACACATCTAGCTAACGCCCAGACTTCCTCTCTCTCTTGGTTAGATGTCCTTGCCCTGCCTGCTGGCTTTCTAGTGTTGCCACTTTGATGAGTCCCTGCCTACAGTATCCCCATGGTCAGTGTCAGATTCCCTGTCTTTGAGTTGACACATTTTTATTCTTCCTCTTTTGAAATAACCCAAACCTGAGGGTGGGCAGGGACCTCACAGTCCCTGCACTGTTCTCCATGAGTCATAGAGTGACTCAGGGGCCTCACATATATTTACTGTTGAGTGTTTTTCAAGACCAGTAGGCACTCAGCAGTTAAAAAAAATCAAATTCAATAGTGGAGGTGGAAAGGAAGTTAGAGTACACTGAACATGAACTAGATAATCTTTACTTTCCAAAATGGAAAGGTCATAGATAATGTCAGAGTTGACAGATGAAGGAAAAGTTTCAGTACCATTGAAGAACTAACAACAGAAATGTCTCAAAGTGATTCCCACAAAATACTGCTATATAATTTAATGTTTTAATTTGCATATGATTTTTGATTAAAAAATGATATGTATTTGAATGCAAAAAATATATAACATTTTAGAATGATACTTGTCATTTAAAGATCTCAGTAGAGGATCAGATTTGTAATTACATTTATAAATGTCTTCTTTGAGTTTCAGCTTTGCTTTATTATTTCAAATTTTTTTTAATCATATAATTGGGGCATAACCATGAGACAGTTGAAGAAATATCAAAAGAAATAAGAACTGGAAACCCCTCAGTGAATTCAGCTGCCATTTTTTGCATTGCTCTATGTACCTTTAATTTTTATGTCCTTCAGGAAAAATTAAATTGGAACTCCCTTTATCACTTCTTCATTTCATTTTTCCTGTTGTAGAAAGGGCAAGAGCTTAATGTGCCACAGACTAAAGCTGTAGGGGCAGCTGGACACACATGGGCAGATGCCCGACACTCTGGACAGCTGGCCAGGTCTTCCACTCACATTTCCCAAAGTACGCAGTTGCAGGCAGCAGCTGGAACTTGGCAGGGCAGGTGAAAGGGGAACAAGCTAAAAGCATACATAGTATTTTCCTCTGGTTTAAAAGGGGAATATATGTGTGTCAAAATGGCTATTCTTCCAGTTAATATTTTTCTCCAGTTAATTTTTATCCCTTAACCAGAAAATAAAATTCTGTTTATACTTAAAGAATTATATGTCTTAAATGAAAAGGGGGGAGGGGTAGAATAAAGAAGGATGAGCCCTGCCTTGATGCCCCCAGTGTGATTCATCCACTAGCAGCACCTGTCTCACCTGGGAGCTTGTTAGAACTGTGCTTCTCAGCCCTCACCACCCCTCCATCCACTGCTCAGAATTAGCATTTTAACAATTGTTCAGGGGCCTGTGTGGGCCTTAGAGGGCAGGTTCAGAAGTACTGTTCTAACTACAGATGGAGGGCTGAGATAGAGAAAATTCAAATCAGTAGTTCTCAGCTTAGTTTTTGAATCATCTGGAATGCTAATGACTGGGCCCCAGACCAGAAAAATGAAAACAAACTCTTGGGCCAGGTGTGTGTGTGTGTGTGTGTGTGTGTGCAGATCCTGGTATGGGTGTATTTCACAAGAGCCTCAGGTAATCTCAATGCTCTTCATCTCAATGTGTAACCACAGTTGGGAACCTAGTGTTTGGAGTTTCTCAGCTGTCTGTCTCCCCAGGCTCATTTGTATAAGGGAAACTGAACACATGAGCCATGTCAAATCCATGAACATTCACATGATGGCCTCAGACAGGATCAGCTAAAACACAGTGGGGCCTGAGGTGGAGGTGGTTACTACATACTCATTAGGAGCAAATCCACTATGGGGAGGTCTACCCAGATCCTGGGGGAAGGGGGAGGTTAAATGTAATTAAAGACAGCCATCTTTGAGTTACAAATCTCTTTTCATGAATGAGGCATCCCATTTTTGTGGACCACATGAAATGCTAATGCGTGTGACAAAATGAAAACATTAAGATGTGTGTTGCCCTAAGATGTGGAACAGTTTCAGAGGCACCCAGCAATGTTTTCTTTAAATGCAGCTTGAGAATTAGAATGGGCAGCAGGGTGAGTGGATAATCAATCAGCCACATTTCCTAGATTTAAAACCAAGAGGCAAATTAAAATAAGGGTTGACAGAAGGTGCACGTGTTTGAAATACTTTCACTTACACATGAGCCCATCACCTCACCAAATGTTAGCCTCTTGAGGCATAAATTAATTTCCCACAAATGCATGCTGCTTATGTCTGCTCTCGTGAACGTTAAGTGTTAGACTTTTGGACAACAGCTTACAGAATGACATTTCTCCAACTTGCTGTGATTTTTATCCTTGAGCAGAATGTTTTTCTTGGAATGAGCTTCCATGAGAGTTGCGGACACAATTCTGGTCACACACATGGGCCTCGCAGGACACTCATGAACAGAGTGACAGCTGTCAAGGGGAAAAGGTATTCTCCTCACCTAAAGAGCAGGTGTCCCCATTAAACATATTCATCGTCTTTCACTGAGCTCCCCGAGTATGTCCTCACCTGGTACTGCAGTCCAGTGCAGAGGATGAGGTGGTCATACAGCACAATCTCTTCATTGGAAACCACGACGTGCTTGGCCACTCGATCTATGGCTGTCATTCGCCCAACGACCACATTAACCCAGGAGCACAACGACATCAATGCATAATCTTTATCATTAAAACAGTGGCTGTGGAGAGAGAAGCTCCCATCAGTGACATTTGAGCAGCTGACAGCAGGCATTAATGAGACATCTGGTGCACTGGTTCAAGTCCCCTGGCAGGCAGAGACCTGTGCTTGTGCTCTGATTTACCAGAATCGAGGCTAGATACTGGGGAGGTTTTCGTTCTGAGACACTTAGTCACAAATTGACATCTTCCTATTGAAGCTAAATTGTTCCATCTGGCACAGGCCAGTCCGCAACAGGAGGTGTGTGTGTATATATGTGTATGAAATCACACATACACACTTTCTGCTGCTTCTATTTTAGAAGTTGCAAATTGGTAGTTTTAAATTTAAATTCAGCTTCTGGGTTGTCATATTGACCCTGTAGACTCAAAGGGAGGGCAGAAAGACCAAGTGACATCATTAAGGATTTCCAAAGGTAGGGAGCAAAGATCTCGAATATCAAGAACCCTTCCTATTTGCTGACATTTTTTTCAACAAATCACTCATTCCTAGAATTAGCATGTGGATTCACAACAAAACACATTTTTATTGACAAAAGATGTCAATTGGGGAATTATGATCACAGCAAGTACAATCCCTGGAGACTTCCAGGATTCACTCTGCAGGGCCAGGGTGATTCATAAAGGGACTGGTACCTTTACAAACAGCAGGTCCAAGGTGGATGTTAATTATGGGGCTTCCGTATAGCAGTGGCTATGTGCATTTTCTCTCTGAGTTTCATTTGTGTTTGAGCAGTCTACTATAATGTGAGAGAAGTAGGTTTCTTGTGGTCTGAGGTTTATTGAAAGAGTTTTGTGAGAATTGTTTCCAGAATTTTCTGAGTTTTGACTTCAGGTACATGAACCTTTAAGGTCCCTGTTCTGAAGTCTGAGTAGTTTAAGGGGGCAGGAAAATAAGTATTTCACCTAAATTTAGGGTGTTCTGTGCCAAGGTCTATATCTCTGCTATCAGAGATGAGACTGATACCTCACAATATGAGGTAACTGCCCTCTTCTACTCCCATGCTTCCATCATTATGAGGAAAGAATATGAGACTGTAATAGATGCTGATTTGTCAGATGGGATGCATATATGACTGGTATTATTCTAAATAATACATAATCCTGTTTACTTTGCTTAGAGGCAAACAGGATTCTGACGTGGTAATGGGAGAACATTTTTCCTTTTGATCCACACACGAGTCTGTTCTCACCACACACACACAAAAATTCTAGTAATGGATGCACATTAGATCCTGTTACTGGGACCGGGAGAAAGACGGGAGCTCTGGGCTTTGTATCTCTCTATGAAGCAACACTTAAAAACAAGAAAATTTCTACTTAATAAGAAAAGAATATCAGGGGCTGGCCTGTCATGGAAAATAATAGACAGTGATATGAAAATCTCTTTCAAAAGACCATTTGGGTAGTTTTACAGGAAAATAGGAAACCTTATTGATTTTGTACATTCACCAGAGATCCATAAAGGATTTTTTTCTCATTTGTGATATGTCTTCATGTCAGGAGTGGTGCTGTTGGTCATCCAAGATGAGGAAAAGTTAAATACAGTTAGTGTACAGGGATTAGTCTTATGAGGATTTACTCAAAGATAAAAGTTCTCAGGAGAAATTTGTGGAAGACTAAGACAATGCTATTTCTAATGACAGTGGGACGGTGGTGTTGATAACCATCAGAATATATACTTCACTGTTAGACTCTGAAGTGCTATCCAGTGGGAACTGCACTGAGGAGCATTGGGGGTGTCTTTTGGATCCTTATGAAGCATTAATGTGGTCCTTGCTTTAACAATTTGTCACTGCACTGAAATGACAAACTTTAGTTTGAAATTTCACTTTGATAATGATATGGATATTGTTATCTACTCTGAACTTTCTTTTATTTAACCATCAGGTAGGCAAAACTAGCCATTGAAGACTCAGTGATATTTTCTCCTAAACTATCCCCTAAGCAGAGTTATTGAGCATTAGGATTCTGATACAGCAAGTAATGTTTTTGATAACAGAAGAAATACCTGGACTAAGGTATTCTGGACAAGAAAGAAGGAACCAGAGAAGGAACATCAATGAAATTTCATGTTTCTAAAGTTCAACTGACCCTGCTTTGAAAACAATGGGAAAGGTTGTCTGCACAGAACATTCTGGAATCAGGCAGTAAGGAAGAGAAAACAGCATAAGAGCAGGATGGGAAAATTCTTGGAAGACATATGTAAAGAGTGACTGGCTTGCTCATAGTTGCAGTCAGTACCCAAATGAAGCGGTCAGAAGAGTCAGGCCAAAGCTCCAGGTGCAAAATTAGAGGCAAAACCCAAAAGCAAGTCTAAGTATGGTGGGTCTTGCACTTCATAGGGACAGACCCCTTCAGAACTGCAATGAAGGTCAGAGGTGTTCTTAAAGAAATTATAGCGACACTCTAAAAAGGAGGAACATCACAATTAACTATTTGTCCAATTAGTGAATTTCCCCCTGCTTCCTGGTCCTCTCCTACCACCTTCCTTACTCTGCATCCAGGACGATCAGCACCTCTGCCAGACACTTGATTGGCCAGGGGAAAGGAGACAAAAACTGGCTGTTCAAAAAACGGTAAGAACACTGGCTAGGGAAAGTTCAGAATTAGTATTTAATATCAGGAATTTAAACTTTTAAATGTATGGATGTTAACGTACTTGCTATTTTTAGACTCCATGATCAAAGATAATTTCCTTCTTTGAGGGTGGAGGACCATGTGAAAACAGTATCCTGTGTATCATTTTGTAATTATGATAACATGTAGTTAAGCCATGCAGAAGCCTCTGTTATTTAGACCCTGTCTATAGTCGAAAGGAGATGGTTTTTTGCAGGTAACTTTCATCTATTTGACATTATTTACTGAACACCTGTTAAGTGCCAAGTACCGTCGCAGATGCTGGGGATACATCAGTGAACAAAAAGGTTCAAAATTTTTGTCCCTGTGGAATTTATATTACAGTAAAAATTTATACTATAGTTGAAGGAGCATGATATAAAGAATAAGCATAATTTAAAAGGCAAATTACATAAAATTAAGGATTTGTGCAGCAAGAAAAAAAAGCAAGGAGGACTGCAATGTATTGGTGTTGGTTACAAATGAATAGGCATTCAGGGTAGGTCTCAATAAAAAGCTGACATTTAAGAAAACCATTTGAGAGAAAAGCAAAATCCTTGAGGTAGGGGCCTGTCCATTGTGTCCAGGAACCTCACGGAGGCTGATGTGGCCACAGTAGAGAAAAATAGAGCAAAAATAGTAAATTATGATGCCAAAGAAGTAACTGAGTAGAAACAGGTTTTAGGCAGAAGCTTTCTAGAAGTTTCTGTAATGGTGGAAATGCTCTGGTGGTAGAAATGCTCTATAGTTGTGCAGCCTGAAATAGTAACTACTAGCTACATGTGACTATATCAGCACTTGAAATATGACTAATGTGACTAAGGAGCTGAATTTTTTTTAATTTTATTTAACTTTAATTAGTTTAAATTTAAATAGCCACATGTGGTTAGTAGTCACCAGATTGGACAGTGCAATTCTTGGCTGTGCAGTATATCACTCTGGCTGGTGTGTTGAGAATGTTGAAAAGTGAGGACAGAAAGAAACACCAGGTGACTTCCCATTCACGTCGATCCCAGATAGTATAGAACCAGAGGTCACATACAACTATTCTCTCCTATGAGAAACCTACACCATGCTAACTGAATTAAATTCCTCCTAGGATATTTATCCATCACACCAAATTTTCCTGGGAATGATGTCATTTAGAGAGGGAAAGTGAGGGGAGGGGATCTGTGTGTGTTGATACTCTACTCTGTCAGAACTTGTTACCTGGATTTTAGCCCCCCAACCCAGTAACACTGTATACTTCAGAACAGTGAAAAAGCCCAGAGCTCAGAAAATGAAATCCTACTTGTGCTGGGTGCAAATGTGAATCTTCATGCCCCTGGCTCAAAACCTACAATTTTTTCTACTCAACCTGTTAATGTCCTTCCAAATAATTAAAAACACCCACAATTTATATTCTGATAAGTATGAAGTTGAAATAAGCCTGGTTCTAGTTTTCCTGCTGCCAAGAAAGTTGTTTTCCTCACTGTTGGAAGGCAAAGTAAGTCATTTTCACAGAGGAAAGAAGATCCCTTTGTCATGGATTCTAAAATTAATGGTTCCCCTTCCCCCTCCAAACAATTTTCTCCTCCTTGTTGGAAAAATTGGGACATTGTTTCTAGAGGCAGGGAGCCTAATCATTCTGGTACCCATGTTTCGCTACAGGAAATTAAAATTAATGGAAGCTGTGTGATAATGAAATGGCACTTTCTAGAACGGATGTTGTCAAATAGTGATTCTACTGGGATAGAAACAATAAAACCTGCCTGCACTGGCACAGAAGGTCTCAGCCTGATGACAAATGTCTAGGGAGGATGTGAGACCCAAACCCAAGTGAGGCATCCTGTCTTTATCTCCCAACTCTGAAGCTTAGGGGAGTTACCCTGCCTGATGCAAACAGTCACCAGGCTCCCCCACCTATAGTGTTACTGAGCACAGAGATAAGAGCTGTGCTGGTCAGAGCGCTTGGTCCCAGGTATCTGGAACTGGGCAGATGTCTTCCCACAAATACCAAATGCAGCCCAACCCTGCTGCCTTTCATTCCTTTAGGGTTTGTACTTGTGTCTCCCAAGAAATGTGTTAACAACCTTTCCCTCCCCAATCTGAAACCTGCTATTTAGCATGAAATGACCCACACAAATTAGGATTTCTGAGTCCCAGAATGAGAAAACAAGTAGAATTCATACTCAGTTGCTAAAAACTTCCTTTGTTCAGAGTCCAGAAGTTTTTTCCCTGGGAGTCCATGTGTTGAAATCAGAGTAAGATTACTAAACTTCAAGTGTGAGCTGTAAAAGAAGAAAACACGTAGTAAGAGGTAAAGCATGAATTGGTGAGAGTTTATGATAATTCAATTTAACATTACTCCATCTGTTATCCAATTATTAAACTTTTAAAAAAATCTAACAGCTTTTTGGATACAAGTCTTCAAACAGAACTGAGGCCTTAAAGAAGGAAGATGGATCTGAGCAGCAAATGGCAGAAACACCCAAAAATTATACCATGGTCATGGCAGACACCATTTAATCTTTTTTTTTTTTTAAGATTTATTTATTTATGCACACAGAACTAGGGTACAGGCCAGAGGTGCAGGGGCCACCGGTGAGAAGATTCACAAGAGACAGAGTGGGGCGCAGTACAGGCAGATCGAGGAAGTACACTGCTGATTGGAGCAGCGGGCGGGTCAGGAGAGGTCTGCCACACTATGTGGGTCACCTCCCTGGCTGGGGATCGAACTCATGCTGAAGTGGATTTAGCTTCTTAGTGTTGTGTTTTAACTCACTGTGCCACTAGGGAGGGCCCTAATCATTTAGTTTTTAAAAATTTCCTTCTCAAAACAAAACAAAATAAAACTATTTGGGGGCAAGGGAGAAATATTTAGTATAAATTAGTGCGCAGTTAATTTTGACTACTAAAAAGTTGCTAGGAATCATAATAAACTCAGATAAACTTCTCTGAAGGCTTACACTCAAACTCTTTGCAGGTTTTCATATAGTCCTCACAGCAGTCCCATGGGGACAGCAATGTTTTACCCCTAAATGCTATGTGGAGATTATTTGTCTAAGTTCATGTACCTAGAGTCAGGAGATAGGGGGTGAACCTAAGCTATCTGGCTCCATTGTCTTCTCCTAGCTTCTGGATCTCCTCTATGGTAGATCTCAAATTGTTAAGAAGGATCCAGAGGCAATAAAGAGGTGAATTCCCATCAGTCAACATTAGCTTTATTACTTTCAAATATACATATATATGGACACACACGTTGTTATATGGTACAAAGGAAACCTAGATCCCAGGGCTAACAAGAAGCAAGTTTAATTGCCCCAGTGATGACTCAGCAGATTTGCATTCAAAGGCTGAGCCCCGTTTACAGGGAGTCAGTGACTTATATACACTTTCAGTTTCTACAGGGTATTGGGTGGGCTTACCTTGGTAGCTGTGATATGGCTACATGGTCAGCTATGCTATGGCTACATACCAAGAGGTGAGTTGTATAATTGGATACCAAGGACTGAGTAAAGGGTCAGTAGTCATGTGACCTCCCCCCCCCACCTCCAGGTCCATTCTGCCTCATGCTCTAACATGAAGCAAGATTCATACCAGAAACGAATTTACATACTAGGAACTGAGCAAAAAATTGGTACTAAGACCCCTAGATTGCTCATCTCAGGTCAGTATACTTCAATATCTCTCCCATTATGTTAAATAGCGCACTCCTTTGAAATCTTTCATGAGTAGAAATGGCATAAAGCAAAGAAACAATTACCACTAATTTATATGGAAAAAACAGACCTTCCAAAATGACCTACCCAATCATACCAAATAACACATAAAACTTAAATAACACTAATATTCAATATAAACAGGAATATGATAAAATGCCAGCCTGGATAAAGGAGGTGCTAGGGAAGGACTTGGTGGGGCATTATCTTTGCTCAGAGCCTAGAGAGTGGCTGTATAAAACCATCATTGTGCACTATTTTTGTTTCCATCTTTTGTTAAAAAGCTAAAATCCTCTTCAAAATTCTTTCAATTGGTGAGCAGTTACCTAAAAGCAATGTGGTCTAACAGGAACTTTTAAAAAAGCAAAGGAAATACATATATGTATTGTATATAATTATTCTAATAAGGTTACTGAAGGCTTACCTAAGAGAAGATTCTAGAGGATTCCTTTTAAAAACAAAATCCCCTCATATTTGCATCAGGCTTTCTATGGCCCAAAGCTTGCTCATAGGCATTATCATAGGAAACAGTCTTCAAGACAATTTGTCCAGGGACAGGGTGTAGGTTTTTATTACATCTTTCATACAGAATTATTACTCTTATTTCTTAAAAAAGAAAATCAAGGTTGGAAATGGTAGGTAATTTGCTCGTGATCATGAAGCTCATAATTTAACATGAAAGCCACGTCTTCTAACCCCAAGTAGCACCCTGTCGATCACCAGGCCCCTCTAAACAGCCCTGTTAGTAACGTTAAGCCACATGCCTGGAGCATGTATATAGAGGCTTCTCAAGAACTTACGTGCTTGAGATTCACTTCTTGCTTTCCCTGAAGTACTTAAAAATACTCCTACTGCAAATTTGCCCTCCAGTTAGTGTCTGCAAATTTTTATGGGTGAGCTGATCTTTTCATAGACTTCAGGATGATGAGATTTTTTCCCCCCTAAAATCTCTTCTTTGTTTGCACCTCCCCTTAAAGCAACCAAATGCCAAAAAAGAAATCTTCCCCAAGTTAGAGGAAAACACCTGCCCTCCTTTCCCATGAGGAGATTGGAAATTTTCCAAATGTGGAAATGCTATCAATTTACTGACAATCTGTTAAGTACCACTAAAAGCAGAGGACTTTTGGTGACAGTACAAGTCGGCAATGTAATAAACTCAACCGCACCTGACATTTAAAAATAGCTAAATATTATGAAAGGTTTTGCTTTATAGTCTCTAAGGATGTGTGTCATTTGAAAATGAATATTCTTTTTTGATACAAAGAAAACTGAACACATCTTATCCTCTAATAAGAATCAAAATTTTGACTATGTTCAAATAACATAAAGGTCACAATTAACCCTAGCTACTTATGGGTGCCAATGTGTAAAGGCACAGCAATGGCAGGTCTTTAATTTACTGCCATTTAACAGAAAACAAATAATAATCATGTGTGTTCATACTCACATGCAGTTAAAATTTATTTGGCTATGGAAACTATGTGATTTAAAATTCAGCTATATAAAGGTCATTTTTACATTTCTATGTAAAAGAAGTCATTAATTATTCATATATTGTAAACATATACATACACACACACACACACACACACACACATCTATCTTTACTATAAAAGCAATCCCTTTGACACTGAATCATTTGAACAACCTAATAACATGGATCAAATTACTGGTAAATTGCCAGGTGACCGCACTGTATTATCCTGAATTATGCAGCTAAATAATGAAAGACTTCTCTCAAAGGTTTGGTGGAGTGGTATTTTCTGGATGTGTATATGTGTGTGTGTGTGTGTGTGTGTGTGTGTATGTAAATATATGTATGTCTTTCATAAAAAAGCAAGTTTGTTGATATAGGGGTAAGGAGATATAGGAGAGGAACTTTGAAGAGGAGACAGAGCGAGTGGGTAAGCACCCACTGAATCTGGGGAAGTGAAAGAACATTCCTGTAGATGTTTAGAAGTGGCAAAAAGGGAAAGGAGGAGGAGCCTGCTTGGTGGCTGCATCCGTTTTCTTTATGATGTAGGAGATGCACTTGCTTGAGGAAGAGGAATAGAAGGTGAAACAAGAAAGATGAAAGCAGTGAACTTGAAGATTGAGTAAAGGACTAGTATAGCTACTATGAAATGTGCAAAAGGAATTTGGCTAAAAACAAAGAAAAAGAATGGAAAGCTGGTATATAGCTGCTTAAATATACATGTAGCTACATATATAACAGCTTCCTCAATCTCAATGCTTTAAATTTAATGATCTAGGAATGTTCAAAAAAAATCCTTACATATAGAATAGTGAGTCACAAAATATTTCTTGAGTTTGGGCATGCATTACTTGAAATGGCAGGACCAGCAGGACCACAGAGAAAGCACAGCCCTCAGATTTACTGGTGTTGGTTTAATGTATATAAACAATATCTAACATTGTGAGCCCTCTGCTCCAAAATCAAAGGTCACTGTGTCGTGGCAAAAAAAAAAAAAAAAAAAAAAAAGCTGAAGTTAAGTGCTCAAGCCAATGAAACGTTAAGCAAGTGCACCTGCATTTTCGCAGCAGATAATTCCAGTGGGGATTTCACGTTGCTGTGGATACAAAGGGAGGAACAGCTCAAAGATACTTGTAAAGCAGGGAGGGATTAGAGTATCCAGGGAAATAAGTAAAAGGTATTGCATTTCATTCCCTGCTTCGGGAAGGCAGCTACAAAATTAGGTCGAAACATCCTTATCCTTCTAAATAAAGAGGGTCATGTTGCCAATTTATGGTGAGCATGATAAAAGAAACATAAAACTTTGCATGTTGCTTACCTTTCTCCGTGGTAGAAACCTGTCAGCCTGCCAGGTGACAGCTTATTAATATTTTTAAATGTTTCTGCTTATTCCTTGTTTTTGGCATAGTGAGGGCAACCTAAGCAAGTAATTTAATTAACTTCTTTCATTAATGTTTTTACTTGAACAAATAGTGTAGTGAGAAAATAATTTTCCACATCAGCCCAAATGCTACAATTTACTAAAATCTCTGCCTTCTGAATTGTTCAAAGTAATAACAAAATATTTGCCAAATGACAATAAACCCTAGCTCAATATTGATTATTTAACCTAATAGCATATTTTACTAATCAAAGAATAAATTAGATTTAATTTAATTTTAATACTACTATGTAAAGTCACAATGATAAAATGCTATAGGTGGGATTTAAAAGTGGAAGTTACACAAACTTCCAATATTAGAAGAAAAACATAGGGCAAAATAAAATTAAAACATGTTCATTGTAAGTATAGGATAGGCTAAGATTATCAACTTTTCCCTGAAAAAGCCTTTACTGCTTCAGCAATAATTTTTTGTATTTAGATGATGAGACTTTTAAAAAAAATTATTTTTACATCATTCTTCATTTTGTGCCTTTTTCGATCTCAGTTGTAATCCCTGTGGACTTCCCACCACCCATTCAACTGTGTGCCATCACCACAGGCGCCTACACCTTTCCCACCAGTTTTGACCCCATTCCCCACCCCTCCCCCGTAAAATGTCTCTAGCATATAGTTGTTCATTGTTTTTCATTTTTTCTTTATTACAATTGCTTT